ACAAATTCCTTGTGTGTCCAACCACACTTGGCCAATAAAGAATTCTATTCTATTCTATTCTATTCTATTCTATTCTATTCTATTCTATTCTATTCTATTCTACTCTATTCTATTCTATTCTATTCTACTCTACTCTACTCTACTCTACTCTATCTTTAAGTGCCAAGATTGAGAAACATTGCATAAGAGAAGTACTTCCTTACCAGAAAAAATATTTCAGGCAGGTACACCTAAAGTCAGTGTTAGTCCATCAACAAGACCTCAGCTATTCAGGAAATTGCTCCCTCTGGTGACATAAGGAGTGTTTTCTTAGCCTTAGCATATAATAATACTAAGAATGCATTAATCGCTGTGCTTCTACTTTGGGCATGCTATCTAAGATTCACTGAATAATATTACTGTCTAGCACCACTCATCAACTAATTGACCCAAGTTAAATGATTCACCTTGAAAGAATTTCATGCTTTACAAACCATGCACAAAAGAAAATTGTTAGAAAATTGTCAATATTTCAAATCTCCAGACTGAAGGTTAAGCAAAAGGGGAGGACATTTAGTTGTTTTATTGAGAGATAGAATTCCTTGAAATATACAAAGAAGATAAATTTTCTTAGCTAAAGGCAGTAATATTTAACTGAAGAAAACAGCAAGAAGACTGGAAAAAAATCTGTAAAAAGGAGTTTCTTAATCCGACTTCAGTCTTTAGATGAAATTTTGTTTGGGTTAACTCACAGTGATCAATACTAGTAGAAAAACACATTATAAAAGATAAAAAAAACACATAACTTACCTTAAACTTGGTAGGGTGATTATGTGGAACCCTGTCTCGGCATGGGCTACTGCAGCACGTTCCCATGGTGTCAAAACAACAGGCAAACCCTGGAACTTAAGGAAAACCAGAATACTGAAGACCAAACTGTAAACAGCATCTTTCTAACAAAATATTTCAATGTTTCAAAAACTCATTGATGGGATTTCAGACAAACCATCATGCTCCTGCTTAAACCTTACTTAGCCATGGCTGTGAGCAGTTTTTTAAGGGGAGGATTCCCACATTCTTCACATAATCCTGTGCTGGGTGTCATGGCAATCAAGATGCCAAGAAGTCATTTATGGTTTCATAGAAACTATGTCAACTTTCACCTATGAAGAAGAGAGATAGATAAAAACACTTGAAATGACTAAGCCCCTCAAATTATCAACTGTATTTTACAGTCTCTTTTTGTACTCATATAGGTCAAGTATCATGAACAAATCATTTTAAACTTCTTTACTCTCTGGCAGAAATACAGCAGAAAATCTATTCTTCATCTATGTCACAAGGAGAATTAGAAATTTACTTTAAAATGAAAGCTTCAATTCATAAAAGTTTAATTAAAGTATTATTTTACAGCCTTCTAGGATAATTTGGTATTCCATTTTACAAAACAGAAAAGTAAAAAAGTTAACATAATTCATCAACAAAGAAACAATGGTCATAATTTATATATCTCGACACTGGATAATAAAGATTCCTTAGGCTAAAAAAATTAAGTTTTCCATTTTGGAGAACTGTGGGGTATTCCTCTGTTACCTAGTGAGAAAACAAGTTAATGACAAACATCCTTGAAAGGCATCTTGCTTATTAGTACTATATACATTGTTGTCCAAAAGGGAGATCCAGATGTTTAAGACATGCACTCATTGTACATGAATTTAAATGTGAGGCCTTAAACAGGCATATCTGAAATTGTCTGTCTTGTAACACATCCAAGGAATCAGTGCAGGGATTCCTTCAGAGAAATTTGTGCAGAAAATGATTGCTCAAGACAGGAATTTTGACATCTACTTAAAAGAATATTGATTATATTTGAGAGGTAGAAAATGTCCACTTCCCAGATTGTTATAGGATTTGGTAATAAAACTAATGAACAATGGAGTTGTACTGAGAGTGTAAAAAATTAAACGAGAAGATTAATAGAGACTATCTTCAAGAGCTACCAATAATTCTTTAGCTATTTATCAACTATTGTCGTTTTAAAACATTCTGAATTCCAGATATTCCTAGAGTGTCTCGCTACCTGGCAGTGAATGAAAAATCCTACTTCTCCTGCACAAAGATTAATTTTAACCATTTTAATTAATCAAAAAGTTGTTAGAAATCTAACATACTTCAGTTCTCAGGAAGTTCACCTGTCTTCCATGTCGTATTTGGCAGTTTTGCTGGCTATTTCCAGCTTGGCTATAAATCGCACTTCGTTTCTGCAGGCCTGGAGTGCCAAACATTCTGCAATTAATCAACAAACAATAATTTACAGGAAAAAAACTTGCAGTTGCGCCATAATATAGTTACAGAAATAACCTATACAAAACAAATTTTGCTTATTGTTAATGCAGAATGAAAAAAAAAATACATACAAAAGTCATTTCAATGTATTAACAATTTTTCTGAACAGAAATATCTAATTCGTTTCTATAAACATTATATGGCAGCAGAATAACCATAAAAGATAACCAAGAGCTATTCAAATGAATTATTTAAGCTTTTAAGGTGCTTCTACACAAAATTTGTACTACTTCTAAATTTCCCAAAGGGGGTCTGACTGTTTCTTCTCACAAAAACAGTACAGAAGAAAGCTGCAACTGTATCAATATAGCAGTAACTATTAACCTAGGCAACAGTCTCTCCTTCATGATACAATTCCCGATTCCCTGATATACAATTAAAGAATAGCTTGCCCCAAAGCTGAAGGCCCATTTTACATTAAATTAAAACAAATGCAATTTATTATTTCTGTAAGGAGCATCAAGACTCAACCAATTCTAAAATAAATTATGCCTGTTTTCAGTGATAATGTTTATCATTATTTTGAGCATTTTTCTTGCATGAAGCAATAAATATGACTACAACAAATGAACAGGCAAAAAAACGATCAGGACTAATGAAATCTGTATTATGATTTCAATGTACATATACTATGCACTCCATGGATTTTAAGTTGCTGCTTTGTATGAGCCGTAATGCATAGTCAAGGTATGGATTAGGGGAAAAGGCTAAATAACAACATAAGCAAACGGGCCTCAAGCAGAAGATTACAGAACATTTATGCAACACTGATGAATTTTTGTTTTGAGGATGCACAAATATTTATTGTTTTTGTCTTCAAATACTTCAACTCAATACAATAAGAATTACTGCAAACTGCTGCAGATTGCAAACTACAGTTTGCAAATCAGAAACACACTCATTTCAGAACAATATTTTTCTTACATGCATTTAATTATAGTTGTATATTAAACAAAGAGCAAAAGTACAAGTTCTCTTTGTGCACAAATTTCAAATTTCTGATTTTCGAGGAAACTAAGATAGTACAGATGCTAGTGCAAAATCATAGCTGATATAGGGAAAGGAAGAAGTCATTCAAAATATAAAGATGGAAGCATACAGTATTCAAAACATTAGATATTATTTACAAACATTTGTTTCTAGAGAACTAGCATTATCTGTCCTTCAATTTAAGCCTTACTGTTGCTTACTAATATGTAATAAACATTATATTTTAAGAGTTGTTCTTCACTTGCATCTAACTATAGCATAAACACATTCCAGAAACCTTTTTTTCTGGCATTGCCTTTATCTGATTTCTACATCTGAAGCAGCCTTGAGTTGTCCTTAGCTGTACTATTGTTAAAATAGTTCCCTCTTTATCCCAACATACTGTAGGTTTTGTTGAAGATACAATTGGTACACACAATAATCCCTTGGAGGGGGGGCAGTAGATTAGACTGACCCCATTGGCCCATTGAGATTAGTACAAAATATAGTCCTGGGCACTGTCCTCCATTCCACTTTGGGTAGGATAGTCTGGTTCTTTCAAATCAAACTCTTCTACTTGACAGATCTCTGAGCTGACACCAGTGATGTCTGTCAATAAAGCAGGAGAAAAAGAGCAACTTTCCCCATGCTTTGTCAGTTGATCAGTTTTTGAGCACAAGTTCAGTACTCTTCTTAAATGGCACTTTAGTCAATGCCTAAAATGAGTCCATTTACCAATTGACATCAGCTGATAGTCAGACTCCCTTTAAGCCCCTTCCACAAAACACCTGTGCAAAACCACAGCAGGTTCTGCCAGATGGCTAAATCTGCACCAAGCTCACATTAAGAGCAGTAGCATTTGTTGCTATCATGCCTGTAGCAGCATAAGAATGGCCATAGAGGAAAGCCAATTTTATTGTTGTATAGTTTTCTGCCAGCTCATGGGCTCCTGGATAGCCTTCAATCCAAGCATCAGGAAGACTCTTCTGAAACATGCTATCCAACATCAGGTCCTACATTATCATCTATATTATTTTTTATTATTTTTATTTTGTCAAGCGATTATAAGATGACAGGTATAAGTATAAACATAGTTATGAATACATGAAATGGATACATATAAGAAAAAAAAAACAGGACAGGGACGGTAGGCACGTTGGTGCGCTTATGCACGCCCCCTACAGACCTCTTAGGAAAGGGGTGAGGTCAATAGTAGTAGACAGTCTAAGGTTGAAGTTTTTGGGGTTTGGGGAAGAAACCACAAAGTCAAGTAGAGTATTCCAGACATTGACCACTCTGTTGCTGAAATCGTATTTCTTGCAATCAAGTTTGGTTTGAGTTTGTATCTATTGTGTTATACATACCTAAAACTGAAGCAATTTCACTTAGGACATCTTCATTTTTCTATCTGGCAGCAAATAATTTCATATATTGTTGTTCTAACATAATTTTCATTCACTGTGGTTAAAACCAAGATGTTAGGGACTACATCATGCTCAAAATGGTTGAAAAATATTAGGTTTGGGAAAGATTTCAGTTCTAATCAATTCCTATTCTTTCTACATCTCTATCACTGGTCAGTAATACACCTAAGGCAAAAATACAAAAACTACATAACACATGAACAAATCTACCAATTTTCTATAAATGACAAATGAAGACAATGCAAACTATTCCAATTACAGTCTTTTTGGACCAAGTAAAGCTCTTTCACACAAAAAGGGCTACACTGCAGTTCTGTACAATGTGATTATTCTTAAAGCATTTACTACTACTAGGAAGACAGAAGCCTACAGAGAATTAAAGCTAATCACAAAACATATAAATTATGTTCACTTACTGGCACATGATCAAAATTAGATTTGCCAATTATGTGTGTGGCAGCACTGCAATCTAGTAGTAACGGCTATCTAATGAAGCCAACATCCGAATAAATAATTTTAGTCTTTAGTGCCACCAAAATCCCTTGCTTTTACTGCAATGGATTCAAAGGCTACTTCTCCAAAACTATTGCCAGAAAAGGAAAATCACGACGAAACACTATTGCTCTCCCAGCCACCCCCCCGGAGGGACTGCAGACTAAAAGACAAGAAAATAATTTTCAAGGTATAAAATAAGAAGGGGACGAAACTGCTAGAATCTGATGGGTAACAAGCGAATAACAACGGCAATAAATACGAGGGTGCAAAGGAACTGGGAGAGAACTGCCGTCCTTGGCCGGCGAAAGGGTGGGAGCGGGTTGGGCTTGCAAGCGCCGGCGCCACGGGAAGACCGCCAGGAGGAGGAGGCCAGAGGACGGCGAAAGCACCGTCAGGATAAGAGATAAGCTGGCCGCCGGGTCTTAGGAGGACGGCGCGTGTTTGGGCAGGGGGAAGCCTGAGAGGTCAATACTTGCGGCACCGTCCAGGCGCGGCGCGGGATAGAAATGACGGAAGCAGCCGCTGCCGCCGCCGCGTCCCTTCGCCCAAGTCCAGCCCGGGTCTGAGACCGCCGGGAGCAGCGAAGAGCACACGAGGCAGCCTAGAGCGTCGCTCACCGTCAGGAGGACTCGGCTTTCGACGGGCCAGGAGCGAAGTGACGGCGGACCGCAACCACAGACTTTATGATTGGTAGATAGCCGTGGTCGAACGAGGGGGCTTGTTTCAATGGCTTTTTTTTTTCTTTCCCTACTTCATTAATCGGCCAAAGGGACGGCTGCTTTCTTCCAAAGAGGGGTGTAAATTTAGATTTTAACGGAGGTCTGATCGGGCAGCAGAGGGTCCGCCAGCCTTCCGTCGCCAAAGACGGGGAATCGTGTTCATTCTAATTTTCATGCCTTTGAAAGGGTTTTGAAAACGTTGAGCAGCCAAATACATCGCCAGGCTAACACCCATTCAGTCCACGGCCATCCCACGGTTGCAAATGAAGCGTGACCCACAGTTTGCTAACCGCTTCCATCGGGTAAAGGGTAACCTTTTCCGGGCTGGAGACGCCGCAATTTGTCTTGTGCCGCACCTGTGGGTCGCAGAGAAGCTACCCAGTGCATCCGCTGAGTTCCTGCAGGTGGCGGAACGGATGGATGGGTTGTACGTCAAGCGCTGGTGGCTTTTCTCAGGCGCCGTTTAGCCTGGGCGCAGCTGCAAATGTTATTCTGGAGCAAATGCAGCAACCTCCACTCCCACCACCCGAAGGAATGCTTCACATCCTTGCACATAGATGCGTTGTTCCCGGTGTAGGTGCAAAAAAAACAAAAAAACAAAACAAAACCGCACGGGATAGGAAGTGGCTGTTCACGTCATACCCACTAGGTGGAGCTACGCACCTCTCACTTGGCCCGTTACGGCTCGAGCTGGTGGGTCCCGGCGCGCGGGCTGGTTCCGAAAAAGGCACCCATCCCAACTACCGCATGCAGAAAGCGAGGTGGTCGGGTGTCCGTTAAAACTAGAGAGAGTAATAGGCAATGGAAAAAATCTTGGGAATTGTAGTCCTTTTGCACATCTCATATCCCCGATGCAGGGTTTGATTTCAATGTGGTGACAACAGCAGACTGACTCAGAATTCCAGAATTTGGTGCTAGAATAGATCAAGTACTGTAGTAGAATTGGACCAATCCTCCCATTTAAGCCAACATTTCCTATCCAACTGCATAGAAAAATAAAATAGATTGCAAAAACCTCCAAAGCCATCCAAAGAATGGGGACAATTATCTGTCAGCTCTCTTCAAGTACCTTCTTTTTTCTCTGCTTTCAGAGTGACCTGTGTATATCTATGTGTAGGTTTGGAAGATTGTACACTTAATTGTATTTAGTTTTCTTTTCCCCTTTCATACATGGATACTGAGCAGATGGGATTCAAATTTTTTTTAACAACCGGTTCTGTGGGTGTGGCTTAGTTGGTGGGTGTGGCTTGGTGGTCATGTTATTGGCTGGGTGTGGCCAACTCAATATCACTCATATGGAGGCATGCATCTCCTCGACTGGCCTCTCATGATTGTGGGGATTCTGCAACAGTCGTAAGTGTGAAAAATGGTCATAAGTCACTTTTTTCAGTGCCATTGTAACTTTGAATGGTCACTCCACACAACCAAGGTACCAGCAAAGGAGGGAAAAATAACTCCAGAGAAGTTCCTGAGACAGGAAGTCTAGTCCTGCCAAGAATGTAATAAGGGTTAACGGAGAGGCAGTTTCTGTAAGCAACACCAGAATGTTTCCTTCCTGCCTTCCTTACAGGATTAGGCCAATAATTTCTTCTAACAACCGGTTCTCCAATCTGCTTAGAATGTTAACAACCAGTTCTAGCGAATAGGTGCAAACTGGTAGAATCCCACCCCTGATACTGAGACCATGCATGACAATCCTCAGATTAGGGTTTGGGTTCTCTCCATATATTGTTGGTTGGAAGGCAAATAGTTAACTGCAAATAGAGCTACAAATAAAAACACTCTTGCATTTAGCATCTAATGGCCATCACATTTCAGTGATTATATGAAGATCTGTAAAACACATATCCTATCATAATCTTTTGAATTCCAAACTAGTTTTTCTGGGGTCACACCCTGGTATCTTATCACCAAGGAATAAGGTTAAACCCTAAACAATTCTTTCTTAAGTGCTTGGCTTTAGATCAAAGAACATTTCCAGAGCAAAATATGTAATACGATGTTTATGAGGCAAGTTGTTGTATACATTTGTAGTGTCTCACATTTTCTTGTGTTGAAAACTTTCCATCTAAGCATCCAAGATAGACTGCCTAGGAAAGGTACTCTTCTGCTTAAATTTCAAAGCATTATCAAATGACTAGTAGGATATCTGACAGAAATGTTGTGTCCTACCCCTGAAGTTGATTGGGCAAGGAACACAAAAGAGGGATAGAATGAGCCCCTGCTTCCACCAAGTTGGCCCTTCCTGCTACCTCTAAGAAACATTTCCAAATTATTTTGAAAGAAAGTACAGTATTGTAATTCTTGATGGTAAAAGACAGCATTAAAGAAAGGAAGAGAGATTGTCAGCAAGAACCTACTGGACTTTAACTTCCAGGTACACATATGAAGTCAGTAAATTGGAAGAGATCCTTATACTGTATTTTACAAACATCAGTGGCATTTTCTATGTTGCAAGAAAATCTCATTAAGACTCCAAGTTAAAACACCTGTTGCCAGCAGGAAAAAAAAAAACGGATGGCTCATATGAATACAGTTTTAACTCTGTGGGATGACAAAAAGATACTTGGAAGCTTCATCAGGATTCATAGCATAATGCATCCAGTTCCAACCAAAACATTTGTCAAATAACTGACATGAATTCTTCCAACACAGATGGAGCGCCACATGAACACAACACAAACAATGCTATTTTGCCAATTGCTACATTGGGCTGTCACTTAAATCAATTTGTGCAGGCAAAATATTTATTTTTCCTTTTAAGGTGGGGGAGGGGGAGCTCCACATCCTTGAATTCTGTTAAAATAAGGTGTGCCCTTGTTTTCCTGCTCCATATGTGCTTTTAGCACTACTGTAATTAAAGTTATAAGTGATACAGTGTTTCACTCACACGCTCCAGAAAGCAGATTATATAAAACCATATCTTAGGCCAACTTTACAGAGACTTTTCTAATGTTCTACATGTGCCAAATTTTAAAGATACATGTGGAGGCCTTTTAAAATAAATAATTCAGATCTCATCATAGCCCAAGAATTAGTTTTTTTCTCTAAAGTATACTGCCTCATTTTAGCCCAAACTTACTATATAGAATATGCTTATTATTTTCTTAAATGTAAGTTTGAAATACTCTTTCCAAGTAGGTGCAAATTAGCCAGACAATTCCTAGTAAGGACACACACACACATAAAAAGCACCTTTGGATTTGTCATTCCAAGACATTCTATATATACTTTTGAATTATATAGTTTGGTATCATGACTCTCAGCTTAATCTTCACAGTATAGTAATGTTGAACTTATAAAGAAAGAATTTAGAACTTGGTAATATAAATCATAAAAGATAAAATATCTTAATTTCCATATTTGTGCACTGACTAGTACACAGGAGTCCAGTTGGTAGTCTTCTGGAGCTGATAAGCTTATTGGAAATTTAAAAACATTTTGTGGGCATTCAACATACAAATAAGCAAAGTAATTCCTTATTACCAACTCTTTTAGACAATCCTTTCAAACTTACCTTTGTCTTCTTTCTAGGTGGTGCGCATACTTCCAAAGAAAGCAAGGTGCTACAACTACTTTCTGGTGTTATATACTAAAAATGTCTGTGGGCAAGAAGCATGACAATTTCCCACACTTTTAGAAACAAAATGTGTTTTTAAAAAATGACAGGCAGGCATCAAACACATTGTTCATGGGTACTTTGAGGCCTGCCGCAATTATGTTTCCTTAACCTAACCTTGTACAACAAGAAAACCTAATATGTGATCAGAAAAGGGGGATTTTAAACTTCTCCCCTAAACACATTAACATTCCCATTTTGTCCAAAGATATAAATGTCTAGAAACATTAAGTGCATACAGACACATCTAATCCTATGGTAATAAGAATATTTGCTTATTGTTGAGTAATGACGTGTTCTGTAAAAGTATGTAAAATACATACTTTTAGTCTAATAGTAATATTTAGTTAATACACAAAATACAATTTACTGCTTGTGTGAAGTAAAATAATAGAAAGAAAGAAAACTTATCTATAACAAGTACAACAGCCCTACTCAGACGTAAAATATATTGAGAGAAAGAGGTCCACCGACAGCAAGAGCAAAGTCCATAATTGAGATAATAATGCTAAGTCTCCAGCAGCACATAATATTTAAACAACAAAGTAGTAGTTAGTGGGCAAGGCTCTATTAAGAACTTGTCTTTAGAATGCTGCCATGGCATCCTTAAAATGACAAATGATTCTACTGGCAATAAGGTCCTCAATATGTTGAGGACTTTATTTAAAGTTTCTGACCTTTTTTTAATGACATGCATTCATCAAAGTTGACTGATAAATTAGATTTCTAACCCTGACTATCCAAGAGAGGCCACCAAGATTCTATCCCACTGTTTAAAAGCTGTGGGGGTCAGAATGGGGAAGAACTTCACTGAATGACTGTAGGGGCCCCACAGTTCCCAGAACTGGATATTATGTTGTTGAATTTAGGAGGAGTCGCACTGCCTCACTCAGAATCCATGTGCAATCTGGCGCCTACTAGACATATAGTTCCTGCTTGAAGAACAGGTGGAAACTGTAACCAAGGCAGCCTTCGCATAGCATCTTCTTGTGTGCCAGTTGCACATGATCCTGGATTGGGGCATTTTGCCCATGGCCACTTGTCCTTACTCTTGATTGGTTATTGTGATGCACTCTTCCTTGGTGACCATAATGAATCTGAAACAATGGATATTGAGGAGGCTTCATTTTTATTTGTGATTCTTTCATTTTCCCCATAAGCTTTAAAATATTTTTAACCACACATGTATATAAATCAGTGAACAAGGGGATTATAAAAGAGCATAATGTCTTTCAGTTGGCAGTATTAATAGCTATTCATTGAATAGCTTGTTATCAATAAGAATGCTGG